TATATATATATATATATATATATATATATCTTATAAGGAAAAAAAAAGAATAAATTTATTTTTTCTTTAATGCCATCATTAATGCTCTATTCATTGCCCTAAACTTTAATAAAAGAAATTCTTCTTTTTTGTGTTTTTTCCTGTATTCTTCTTTTAGCTCTTTGTATTTATCATGTAGTACTTTTATAGTTGCACTTTGTATAAAAGAAAGAGAAGGAGAGGGTGGATATATTTTATTTATTTTATTATTTATTCTTTTATTCATTGTTAATCCTAATAAAGGATCTTCTTCTTCTTCTTCTTCTTCTTCTTTTTCTTCTTCTTCTTTGTTTTCCTCTTCTTGCTCTTCTTGTTCCTTTTCCTCTTTCTTTTCTTCCTCCTTACCTCCATTTAAGGATAAGGATAAGACAGAGGCATTAAGAGGGTTATAATGACTATCAAGAGAAAAAGAAAACACATTTTGCATGCATTGTGAAGAAAAAAACAAAAAAGAAATAAAAAAGAAAAGAAGAAAGAAAGGCGAATGCAATAAACGGAGGAATGATGATGATGATTGTTGCATCTTTGCGTGTATATGTGTAAACTGTAAGAAAAAGAAACAAAGAAGGAATAATTAAATATAATTATTATTACATTATTTATTTACTCTAAATTAACAGTAAATATATAAACAAAAAGAAAAGAAGAAATATTACTCGCTAGATTATAGCTAAGTAGCTCTAGGCAGCTGCTTGTCAAGGAGTAACGGCAAGAACAATAGGGGAGAAAAAAGGATATTTTTATCTCTTTTTCCTTTAATAATTATAAATAATTTATATACAATACAATGAATGTATGTTTTAGGTATTTATTGTCTTATTTATCCGGGAAAAATGCATGTTTATTATATAGGCCGTCGTACAGTAACAAGCCCGTTGCAGCAGCGATTTAGTATATAGGGATATTATATATATATATAATGTACATATTTTTTTGTCTATTTACATAAATATAAATATAAATACATTAACTATTGTACGTTTAATATTTTAATTATATTTTTATTTACTTTCTGCTCGAAGAACAAGAAGTAATTTGTTTGTTTTTTCTTTTCTTTAGTATCCATGACCACTGGTCTTATGCGGTGACCGGGCGAATAGTTTCCTTATTATCCTCTAAGGAAAAAGGGGGGTAAAAGGTTTTAATTAAATTTAAATTAATTAAATATACAATTTATTTAATAAATATTATTTAATTTTATTTATTTTGCATATAATAGTGTATTTTATTCAGCAGCAGGAGGCATGAGTCCTTAGATGATCTAATGCTGGGTATAAAAGGCATCGCTAATAATATACAGCAACAATATTTCTAATAAAAAGAAATAAACACAATAAATAACACAATAAATGACTAATAATTAATATTATTTAATTATATAAATAAAACAATTATAAAAGAGTTTTTCTTGTTGTTTTTTGTTGGCTATTTGTATTGGTTGTTTATATAGATTCATATAACGCAACCGATCATCAATGCATGCATATTGTTGTTGCATTTTCTTAAGAAATAAACAAAAAAATAAACAAAAAAATGTATTTTTTAATTTAATTAAATCAATGTACATGAATAAAAAGGGTTTAGTGGATATTGTGGGGTATATTATGCATATTATTGTGTTTTTTTATGCAGGAGTGTAATTAGTAGTAACATGTTACTGCCTTATGAATAAGGAGAGTATAAAAAAAGGGGAAAAAGAGAAGAAATAAAGGAATTAAAATAATAAAATTAAATAATAAATATACAAAAGGCAATTAAACAAATGAATTGTTTGTTTGTTTCCTTTTTTTTTATTATTTATTCTTCTTCTTCCTCCATAGATTCTCCTCCTCCTCCTCCTCCTCCTCCTCCTCCTACACTACTAATATCTATTTCTTCCTCTTCTTCTTCTTCTTTTTCTTTTCCTTTTCCTCCTTTTCTTCCTGTTCCTTTATTAGCACTAATATATTGATTAATTCTTTTAACTAAAGGAAGAACAATAGCAATAATACCTGCAATAATAAGACCAGCAACAAGACCACCAGGTACTAAGCTACCCACCATAGATATACCTATAAATAAGAAAGCTCCTCCTGCTAATAATATTTTTCTTTCTTTTCCTCCTTCTTCTTCTTGATCATTTATAATTGTTAATAAAGAAATACTTTTATCTCTTAATAATACACGGCATAAATAACCACAAGAAGAAGTAGAAAGAAGAGGAGGATGTTTATTATTATTATATAAGGAAAGAAAGGAAGATGATGTTTTTTTTTCTTCTTTTTCTTTTTTTTCTTTGTTTTTTCTTCCTCTACTAAGTCTAAATCTTTCTTTTATTGTTTTTTTCTGTTTTTGTTTCTTTCTTTCCTTTATTAATGTATTTTTTAGTACTTTTTTTATTATATTTCCTTGTAGATTAGCCATTCCTTTTTTTGCAGATAAACAATATACAGAAGAAGATCTTCCTGCACCCATTAAGAAAGAAATAGCATAAATCTCTGATTTAGTGATTCTTTTTCTTTTTTTTTCTTCTTTTATTTCTTCTTTTATTCTTTTTGCCTTCTTTAATGCAGCAGAAGAACCCTTTTTCTTCCCTTCTTCTTCTTCTCCTCTTCTTCCTCCCTTTTTTTCCCCTTTTTTCCTTATTTTATTCACAAAACCTGCTACTCCTATTACTATTTTACTAATTATTATTGCTACTATTCGTGATTTTGCCATTAAATTGAATATTTTTGTACCTAATGAGTTTGCTGTTGTATGGGCTGCAGAAAAAAAAAAAAAAAAAAAAAAAAAAAAAAAAAAAAAAAAAATAAAAAAAAAAA